TGTGTGTGTGTGTGTGTGTGTGTGTGTGGTATCAGCTTCAGTTTTTGAACTCAGGTCCTCTGCCTTCAAATCTAGAGATTTTCCTACTGACATGCACGTGAATCCCAACAACCTAATTTCAAACCCGAGTTCTGCTCCTTGCTTGACTCTGTGTGTGACCTTGGCCACAAAGTTGTGCCCTCCAGTGGTTTGGCAGAAGGACATGCCAGCCAAGCACAGGCTCTGGCAGGTCTTCCTGGATGGCCTTGCTTTCAGGCTTTGGAGCGTGGACGGGCTCTGTCACAGGACTCTGGCCATGGGTTTGTCGCAAGCCATAAACTAAGAAGAATTGCTGAACGGACTTCATTCTCGGGAAGTGAGCTTCATCCTCTTGTTTTTGCAGTGACACTGGTAGAGAAGGGGACAGAGCCTGGTAGGAATCACACAGTTTTTAGACTGTCTTCCTCACGTGGGAGAGCCTGGTCTGGTGGCCAGCACGTGTGTTGACCGCTGAAGTGCCAGCATCGTACAAACCTGCATATTCTTACTAGAAATGAAACTCCCAAAGGAGGTGGAAAAGTGCAGTTAACTGTTCTCAGCTGAGAGTTCTCAGCTGCTGGGGTTTACCGAGCATGGTTATTTTACAGGACAGCTGCTCATTTTGTATTTCAGCACTCATAAGAAATATATGCAGAAAAGACCACTTGAAAATAATTGCAATTTATACAGAGGTTAGAGAGGCAGAGAAATTTTATGAAGCTCTCTGGTGACCACCTGTTAGCTTTGGGAATGAATACAAATGCATGCTTGTCATTTGAAGCCTTCTCACGGCCTGGCTCCCACCTACCTTTGCAGGCTTGTGGTCCAGCCAAACTAACCTTGTTATTCAGGACACATGATGGCCCAGCTGCTTTTTCTATCCCTTTACACAAGCTATCCAGGTTCCTGTGTGAGGAACTTTTCTTCCCTCCTTTGTACCCCCCACCCACCCACCTGTGTGTGTGTGAGTGTGAGAGAATCAGTGCAATTGGCAGTGCAACAATGCGATAGGCCCAGCTAAAGAAAGTCTGGCTGATGGCACCCGAGGATGAGATCAAAAGGGAGGGAGAACCACAAGGAAATGCTGGGCTGGAACCTCTACAGAATCTTATCCTGAGGGGCAGTCAGCGAAGGTACAGGTGGATGGAGAGGGAGGGAAGAAGCCGGGCTACACACCATGCCGGCTCAGAGCAAGCCGGCTTTCACAAGTGATGGGCTATCCACAGCAGACACATCTTTACCATTAGACATGTGACGAAAAGATTTCGAGAATCCAAGAAACTCCTGTGCTTTATTTTTTCGTTCGCTTTAAAAAAAAAAAAAAAAGCTTTTGATTGAGTTGAACAGAGCACTAGCTTCTCTCCCCATGTGGTATCTCCCCCACACATATCAAAGTTACATAAAATTCCTCAGAAGGTAAACAGCAGAGGTCTTGTTCAACCCTCTCATAATTATCAAGAAAGCATAAAGTAGGTTGAAATTCATTTGTCAAACTAGATTGTCATTGCGGGTGGGGTGGGGGGTGTCATGGGAGGCCGGGTCACAGAGGAAGTTCCTATAGTTGGTGAGGCATAGATGGGCTGTGATCACAGGAGGGAATCAACAAGGCATAGATCCATTTGAGAATTGAGTGACTTTTGGCAAATCACTCCTTTGCCAAAGACCTCGGTTTCGTTTTTTTTAGGCAGTTGGGGTTAAGTGACTTGCCCAGGGTCTGAGGCCGGATTTGAACTCAGGTCCTCCTGACTTCAGGTCCTTTCTCGGGTTCTAAATGACTGTGTTGACCTAGATCCCTTCCTCTGACCCATTGGGGTCTCTTGCCTGTTCTTTACCAGAGTTTTCTCAGCAACAGGGTCTGGCACAGCTACCCTCCTGAGACAATTCTAGGGAAGACTTGAGCAGCCCTGGGGTCTTTGAGTTCCCTCCATAGTTAATGCTGTTTTTTCTCTGGTGTCTCTCCAGATCCCCATGCTGGCCATTGTACTTTCATTCCGCACAGCTGAAGCCCTTGTGCTCCCAGCTGTGGGGTCATGTGAAACTGGTGCCTGTTCCCTCCTTCTGACGTGAGACAAAAAGGCTGTCTGGATTTGTGCTACTGCCTCCCAGCCCGTAGTTCTGTCAGTCTTGCCACTGAATTCTGGCAAAGCTTTAGCCAGGGTGGGTTAGTGTGGGCATCTGTCAGGCAGCTTGTCTGTGACTAAATTATTTCTGGTACTGACTTGGTTCTCTGGCTTCCCCTGAGGGATGAGGTGTCCCAGTGGCTAATGTCCCTTATAGTTCTATGTTCACAGACACAGGGAGGAAATGCGTCTTCCTCACCATTCTGGTGGCACCGGCTAAGGCAGTCTCTTCTGCCATTCCCCTTGGCCTAGCAGGCACCGAAATGGGCTTGGAGTCCGAAGTCCCAAGTTGGAATCTTGCCTCAACGTTTACTTGATGCATGACTTCAGGCAAGCTGCTGAGTCTCTGTCAGCCTCAGTTACTTGGTCTGTGAAATGGAGATAATAATAGCATCTGCCTGACAAGGTTGTGAGGATTGGTTGAGGTGACACATAAAACACTTGGCAGATCTCACAGTGCTGTATGAGTGCTAGATATTATTATCCTCACTCCCTGCCTGAGGGGCTGTGGGCTATAGCCTCTCCCTTCCAAGTCCAAACTCCTTACCATCTTTTTATTTGTCTGTTAGCGTAAGGAAGGCAGTCCACTGGTTATGGTTTCTGCCCTTGGTAGAAGGCAGGAAAGGAGGGTGAATGGCTTGCCTTTTATGCCTTTATCACTTTATTGCCGCCTTCCGCCCCTGCCTGTGGGTTTGGGTAGGAGGCTCCCGGGACTCTGGCCCTGTCTCTGAGTGGGCGCCTGGAGCCTGAGCACCCTAAAAGACTGCAGCCTATCTGACCTAATAATCAATCTAAGCACCAGTTTCCCAGTCATCCTAGGGACCTGCAGGAGATGCTTGTCATGAGCATAGACCTCTTGGGAGCCTAGAAGTGATCTCTGAGCCTCCTTTCCTTCTCTAAAGTTCCCCTAAGTGGCGTGAGCTTTCTCTGGTGTTCTCCCTTGGCTTTTGTTCTCCGGTGTATAATTACTCAGACCCCAAGTCTAATAGCAGCATTTCTTTCCTTCTTCAAAAGGCCTAACAGACGAACCCTTCACACTTCCAGCTGCCCCATTGTCCCAGAGCCTGGGAAAGATGGGCTGGTGTAACTTACCTTAGGGAAGCTCTGTGTAGAGATAAGGGCCCGCCCCTCCGGTTCTGTGCTGGGCCTCAGTCCAACCTTCTTCCCTCCTTTCTGCCTCCGGCCGTTTCCAGCCCTGCCTTCATTCACATAATCATGGCGTGAAAGTGAGAAGGTACTTCATAAACCAGCTCATCTTGTTCATACCTGAATAGTAATAATACTCCCTTGTACTGGGACCCTAGCAAGCCACCCCTCCCAGAGCAGTTGGGTTTTTTAAACTTTTGTTGGGTTTTTTTTTCCTGGCTTCAGTCTGCCCTTTTTAACTTGCCTTCATTTCTTCTAGTTCTGCTCTTTACTACCAAACAGGACACAATCCCTTTTCCCCTGACAGTTCTTCAGATATCCGGGGAGAGCTATCATTTTTCTCTTCCCATCCCTTCCCCCATTATCCCCAATCTTATCTTCTCTAGGTTAGGCATCCCTGATCCTTCAGTCAATCTTCTTATGGATTGGTCATTGAAAAAACCTAAAACGTGGGTGCTTGAAACCCCCACGAATATGTGGCTTCCCTGGGCCTAAGATGCCTGCCTTCCAGTTTCCAAACCAAGACCCTGAGCCAATGCTACTTTGTGGTCAGGGATATGGATCGGCCACACTCAAGCGTTCTCTCCTTTCCCACCCAAGCCTGAGGCTGGGCATGGACAGGAACCTGCTGGGCCCCTGGCTATCGCCAGGCTAACCCAGCTCTGGCCTTAGCTTACCTAGTGGTGAAGAGCGCCCTTCTGCCTTGATGGGGTCTCTGTTACCCAGCTCTGACCATTCCTCCGTGATCCTTATCCCACAGGTAAGGAAGCCATGCTGAAACAGAAGGACTATGAGACAGCTACCCTGTCTGACATCAAAGCCCTCATCAGAAAACATGAGGCCTTTGAGAGTGACCTGGCAGCCCATCAGGACCGCGTGGAACAAATTGCTGCCATTGCCCAGGAGCTGAAGTATGCTGGCTTCTCTCCCACATGGGGCCCAGGGTGGGGAAATGTCCTCAAAGAAAGCCAAACGCTGCCACTTCATGATCTGACCTTTGGGGAAGAACTAGCAACCTTCTGTAGCCCTGGGTTTTTGTCTCCTTCCACACCAATCCTTTATCTCCAGAGGCCTTCCTGAGCCGCCCCTCCACGGTCTCTGAGTCATATAAATAGGCCTTAGGCTGCTTTAGTGGGATGGTTTTGGTAGGAGGGCCTCTTGGCCTCCCTCTGCCTCCCTTCATGTGGGTCCTGCTGGCCCATATGCTCACTGCATGGCTGTGTTTGAGCAAGGCTGCCCCAGGCCCCCAGCCCTGCATCCAAAGGGGGAAGTGGAAAGTACAGTGGCACCATTGTTCCTGGCCCTCCCAACCCCCTTCCCTTTTTCTCCCGATTAGAATACACTTATTGTAAGAGCTTCCAGGCAGCCCAGGATTTTTTTCCTCACTTCCCCACCCTAGTCAGATAAACTCATGCACACAATTAGTACACTCAGCACTGGGCCTGTAGGGAGCCAATGAATGTGTGCCTTATTCCCCTACATTGGGTGTCTACCACCTAGAAGTGGGAGGCCCAGGGCATGACTTAATGGAAAATCCTTCAGTCCCAGCGGGGAGCTCCCAAAATAACTGTCTGTTCCTTGTCTGGAGCTGCCCTTTGCACAGCTCTCCGCTCCCCTGCCTGCCTGTGCCATCTCCAAAGTCATGCTTGTTCTGTGAGGTTGACTCTCCAGTGTTAATGCTTGGAGAAGCCAGGCCCTGGGTGGGACACATTTCCTCTCACTCAGTCCCTTCTTCCTGCCGTTGGGGACCCTCTCCCCATCCTCCCCTTGGCAAATCTGATGTACGATGATCCTTCTGGATACTTGGTGGCTTTTGGTGCCGCCTGCCCCGTGTGTGTGAGATAAGTTGTCTGCCCCCAGTGGACAGCCTTTAATGAACGTGAGACCCCAAGAGATCATCTCATCTACTTCCCTGCCCATAAGTAGTGATGGACCAACCTACGCTAATTAGCATTCCTACTAGATTGAAAGACCACTGCTTATGCCCAGGAAAATGGGCCTCGGCGGGCCTCCACAGTCTTTCTCTCCCTGTCTTCACAGTGAACTGGATTATTATGATTCCCCAAGTGTCAATGCTCGATGCCAGAAGATCTGTGACCAGTGGGATGCCCTTGGCTCGCTGACACACAGTCGAAGAGAAGCTCTTGAGGTGAAGTCTTTGGTCTGGGCACAGGGACAAAATAATGCAGCCTCTTCACACCCTGGCCAGATGAAGTGCAGATGGGCAGGGAGGGTGTTGCTTTTAAGTGACAAGACACCTGTAAGCCTTCAGAATTCAAAATATCCAGTACACAGTACATCTAATGGGCTGGGGGAGGTGTGGGTAGATAGCATTTTGTTTGAAAAAGATCTGTGGGGCTTAATGGACTTGAGGCTAGTTCAGTGCAAGTCAGTAATGTAATGTGGCAGCCGGAGAAACTCATGCATTGGACCGCATTGGTCCCTAGCTTGGGTATTGTTCCTGCCTTATTTTATGAAACACACTGACAAGCTTGAGTGCCCAGGGAAGGCCAACCCAACTAGTAGAGGGGCCTTGAGGCCCTGCTGGGAAAGAATCTGTTGAAGATCCTGTTGGGGTGTGTAGCCTGGAGAAGAGAGAGAGTGATCCTGTAGTGAAGCTTTTAAAGAGCTGTCACCTGGCCGGGGTGGGGGGGAAAGGGGGGTGGCCCACAAAGCAACAAATTCAGGGGAAACTCCATAGCAGTGAGAACTGGCTCAAGGGCGAGGGCTGCCCAGCCCCTGGTAGGCATCTTTTCCCCAGAGACCTTACCCCAAAGCCTGTTGAGCTCTTGGGTTCTAGAGAGCACGCCTGTGTGAGTGCAGCCAGAGCCAGCTAGCTGCTGAACTCTGTCCTGGCAGGGAAGCCTGCCCACCCTGACCACGAGTGCTCCCTAGTCTTTGGACTTCTCTTTAATGACCCTCCCCGCCATTCTCCCCACTTCAGAAAACAGAGAAACAGCTGGAAACAATTGACCAGCTGCACCTGGAATACGCCAAGCGCGCGGCACCATTCAACAACTGGATGGAGAGTGCGATGGAAGACCTACAAGACATGTTCATTGTCCACACCATCGAGGAGATTGAGGTAGATAGATAGGAAGCATCGATGCCCACCTCTGGAGAAATGCAACAGGCCTGGCATTCTGCTGTCTGAGTAGGCACCTCAAAGTCAGCAGAACCTGCCATTCTCCCCCTTTCTGGCCCCTAGAGACGGTCCAGATTTTCTCGACAGACCCTCTGGGAGCCCCCCTGCTTTGACCACCCTAGATCTGATGGAAAACCTGAGCTGCCTTTTCCATTAGGGCTGTTGACAGTTTTGCTTGCCATCTAATCCCTGACTGGTCCTACCCTCCAGGGCCTAATTGCAGCCCATGACCAGTTCAAGTCCACCCTGCCGGATGCCGACAAGGAGCGGGAGGCTATCCTCGCCATCCACGGGGAAGCACAGAGGATTGCTGAATGTAACCATATCAAGCTGCTGGGGAGCAACCCCTACACCACTGTTACCCCCCAGATCATCAACTCCAAGTGGGAGAAGGTGAGACCAAAAGGCAGGCTGGGAACAGAGCTTTGTGAGCCTAAGGCTGGCCTGCTGACCTAGAGCGTAACCTTTTTACCGACTTTCTCCTGGGTAGGTCCAGCAGCTCGTGCCAAAGCGGGACGATGCCCTGCTGGAGGAGCAGAGCAAGCAGCAGTCCAATGAGCGTCTCCGCCGGCAGTTTGCCAGCCAGGCCAACATCGTGGGGCCGTGGATCCAGACCAAGATGGAGGTGAGGGAGGAGCCGTTCACCAAGGGCTGGCCATAGGCTTGGAGCGCCACCTGGTGTCAGATGCAGTGCACAATGGTCTATGCATGAGCGCAGCAGGAGGGTTCACATTCGAGTCTTTTAGACCTGAAACCAAGAATAATGCTGGATATTTATAGAATCTTCTACAAAGTCATTGGGATTGGGCTGTCATTTCTTTTTAAGCTCAGGAGGAGAGATTTGGGGTTAGAGTGACCAGGGGATGCCTCACTGGGGCCTGAGCCAAAGCAGAAAAGTGGCATGTCATTGATACTGGTGCAGGGTGTGGTGGGCGTGATGATAAAAAGAGACCCTAGGAGCTGGAAGGCCTGGTTCCTGTTGAGATGCCGTGGGACATAAGAATGAAGCCTTTAGAAAGGGGCTATCTGGGGGCAGCTAGGTGGCACAGTAGATAGAGCATCGGCCCTGAAATCAGGAGGCCCCGAGTTCAAATCCCACCTCAGCCCAAACACTTGACACTTACTAGCTGTGTGACCCTGGGCAAGTCACTTAACCCCAGTTGCCTAAAAATTTAAAAAAAGGGGCAGGGGCTGTCTGTCCTAAGCAGGAGCATCATTGGGGGAGGAAGGAGCTCACTCGATCTGGGGTTCTCCATCCTTTCCTTGACCCAGGAAATTGGGCGTATTTCCATTGAAATGAACGGTACCCTGGAGGACCAGCTGAACCACCTGAAGCAGTATGAACTGAGCATCGTGGACTATAAGCCCAACCTGGACCTCCTGGAACAGCAGCACCAGCTCATCCAGGAGGCCCTCATCTTTGACAACAAACACACCAACTACACCATGGAGGTAGGGATGCTGCTGCAGAGGTCTGTGGGACTGGCACGCCTACCCCATGCAGGGGAATAGCTTGTCCTCATTTTTGCCCTCTCCTTTGTAGCATATCCGTGTGGGCTGGGAACAGCTCCTCACCACCATTGCCAGAACCATCAACGAGGTAGAGAACCAGATCCTGACCCGGGATGCCAAAGGCATCAGTCAGGAGCAGATGCAGGAGTTCCGGGCATCATTCAACCACTTTGACAAAGTGAGTGAACTCAGACCTGCTCTCCTCCGTGCCAATTCCCACCTATATCCTTCCCAAACCAGGTTGTTTGCCATTGCCCACATCATCCAGAACACTTCCTGGTGTCGTCTTCCCCTCCTTCCCTGACCCCCACCTTCATTCATTCATTCATTCATTGATTTAGCACTTACTGGCCAAACCTCTGCAGCATTTTTGGGTGGGGAGAGGCAGGGTAGGAGACTAGAGAGATGTACAGCCATGGTGCCTACCTTCAGTGAGCTTATAGTCTGAGAGTGTTGCGGGTCAGAGAAGAGAATTACACAGACACAACAGTAATACTCATACAAGGTATTACGAGAAAGGTCATGAGCAGTAACAGTTCCCAAGCCTGTCTCCAAGGCCAGAAGATCAGTTCTGCCTAGATGGCTATGGCAAAACCATTCCATGGACTGGTCAAGAGGAGAGCATACCCTGAGTAGGAAAGCTTGCCCCCACCGAGACCTCCTCTGTTCCTCACCTCTCTTACTGCCCGTTACCTAACGCAGCAGGGAAGTCTGCCTTCCACTGTCATCGAGGTCACCCAAGTAAGAGGAAGAGAAGATGGGGCCGAGCCAGAAAATTATGTCAGAGGAGCTGGCTGCAAGCTTCTCTTCTCTGAGGAGTCTGGCTGGACGAGCTCATGCCTCCTCTACTCCGACACCCCTTCCCTTTTCCCTAGGTCACTGTGTCTGTGTTACCCTCTAATGATGTATTTCCCTCCTGTCTGCTTTCCCATGTGTTCCTCTTCCCCTTCCCCAACCCTGCATGTGGCCTCGTGGCTCCTTCTCCCTGTCTCCGGCCTCGGTTTCCATACCCATCCCTCTTCCCCTCCTGCTCGGTGGGGTCTGGACTGTGCCCCCCTGGATGGTTCGGCAGGATCACGGCGGGGCGCTGGGGCCTGAGGAGTTCAAAGCATGCCTCATCAGCCTGGGCTACGATGTGGAAAATGACCGACAGGTATGAATGCCCTGCTGGGACTGCCCACCCAACAGTTTAATTAACTGCCTCTCTCTCTCTCCCCCTTTCTCCTACTCCACTGCCTTCCTTTCCCATTCACCATTTAAATCATCCTCACTGGCCTTTGCTCTCCCCATACTTTTCTCTTACCTTGAGTTTTCTTGGCCTTCTCTGTCTGTTCATCCATCCCCTGCGCCTCTCTTTCCTTCTTTTCATCCTCCACCTCTTGCATGTACCGTCTCCTTCCCTTCATCCCCCGTTCTGGGGCCTCTCCTTCCGCTGTCCTTCCCTTGGAGCAGAAGCAAACCGGCAGCATGGACGCTGATGACTTCCGAGCTCTGCTTATCTCCACAGGATACAGCCTGGTACGCTATGCGCTCTTTTCACCCTCTCCTTCTCCTCCAAACTTGCCAGCTCCCTTGGAAAGGAACAGAATGTTCCTATCTTCTCTCAGCCTTTGACACAGGCAGGTGGGAGGGCCGCACTGCCTTCGGCTGCCAGGGTTGTGTCCTCTGTTCCCACCACCCCTGCTGCCCCTTGCTGACATGCTCAAAAGCTCTTCTACTTTCACTCCCAGCATCCCTGCGCTCTTGGCTTTGCCAGACCCAAGACAGAGGGGGAATCTTTTTCTCCCTCTGCTTTTCTTCACTGTACCCCCTTCCCATTTTGTCCTTTTCCCTTTACCCTCTTTGATACCTATGGGCAGGGTTGTCTGGTGGCCTAGGTTTGAGTGATTAGTCATTTTGAGGTTTGGGGGGGCAGATCTAGCAAACAGAGTATAGAGGGGGAAGAGTTGACTTTCTCCCTTCTTCCCTGGATTGGGGGTGACACATACTTGTCAGAAGACTGACATCCAGTAGCTCCTCCTGACCTAGCCTGAAAATGGGTAGCCAGTTCCTCAGTAGATGCTGAACATGCCTAACCCAGTGCTAAGTACCGTCGAAGAGACCAGGAGAACCTTAGGGAGCTCTTTGAGTTTAAGCAAGGGTTCTAGGCTCCTGAAAAAAAGAGGATGATACCAAACTGTCAGCAGAGAACCAAGGTCTTTGATCCTTGAGCTCACTTGAGCATGGGAGCTAGCTGCCTGGTGGGGTCCTGCGATAGGAGACGGAGGGTGCATTGGGCCCACCAAGGGATTGCTCCTCCCCTCAGTCAGGGAGGAAAGACCCCTGAACACCGCAGTAACACCACCTCCCTTCTCTTCCCACTCCCCTACAGGGTGACGCCGAATTCAACCGCATCATGAGTGTTGTGGACCCCAACAATAGCGGCATTGTGACATTCCAGGCCTTTATTGACTTCATGTCCCGAGAGACCACCGATACAGACACAGCTGACCAAGTCATTGCTTCCTTCAAGGTCCTCGCTGGAGATAAGGTGAGCTGGTTGGTGCTCAGGAGCACCAGGGCTTCAAAGAGGCCTAACAATTAGGGAGGGCTGATTCAGAAAGCCTCAGTCATACAGTCATAGAGCAGAAGATCATGCAGAGGTGGGAGCATAGGGATCAGAGCTCAAAGGGGTCTCAGAGAAATCATTTACTCTGCCCGAAGTCATGCACCAAGTAATGGGTGGACTTAGGTCTCCTGGTTCCCTGTCCCTTAGAGGTCAAGGAAAAAGATGGAAGCCATCTGAAAGCAGATGGAAAAGACAGCTTCTTTAGTCAGAAGCTTGCAGAAGGACACAGGATGTAAAGTCATGAAAGGTATGGAAAGCAGGAACACAGACTTGATCTCCACGTTTGTGAGAGAGTTGAATTAAGCATCTCACCTGGTATGTAGAAGAGAAAGTGCTTTCAGCTGAATCTTAGGCCACCTGGACACAGTCAGTGGAAATTAACGTGAGAAACAAGTAGGCTCACTGTGAAATACAAGCAAGGTCCAGAAGGGTCTGATGGGCATCCTTAAGGGTGGATCGACAGCTTCCAACAGGCTCGTCTGTTCCTTTTTGTGGAAGTTAACTCTGCCAGAGTCAGGGTGGAGGGACTGGAGAGCTGTCCAGGGCACCCCACTCAGGTTTTCCTGTTCCTGCCAGAACTTCATCACAGCTGAGGAGCTTCGGCGGGAGCTGCCCCCAGACCAGGCGGAGTACTGCATTGCCCGCATGGCTCCATACCAGGGCCCAGATGCTGCTCCTGGAGCCTTGGACTACAAATCCTTCTCCACAGCCCTGTATGGCGAGAGTGACCTGTGAGCCACCTGCTCCCCCTCACCCCTGCCGCCCCTCACTGAGGAGACACAGCAACCCAACCTCCATCTCTGGGGAGGGTGGGGTAGCCCCCCAAGTCCCCTTCTCCCTCCAAGGGGGCGGCTTGCTATAGTCCAGTTTTCTCTGACCTGACCAGGTATCTATGCAAAGTGCACTCTCTCTCTTTCTCTCTCTTTCCTTCCTTTTTGTGGGAGAGGGGGAAGGGGCAGGATCTCTCTTCTCTCTTAGTTGATTGGCCAGGAGTTCCCCAGCCTGGGGCAGGGGTAATGGTGAAGGGGGAGTTTAGAGTAAATCATTCTGGTCTGTTATAAATATATATATAATATATATATTTTTTAAACTAAGCTGAGGTGATAACCCTCATGAAATGAAGACTGGCCTCCCTCTCCAAGCTGCACAGCATCAGGATAACATGTCTCCTCAGCCTCACAGTCACCCCTGGCACACGTCTCACCCCCCCCTACACACACACACAAATTCCCCTTGTCATCCCAGCAGATAAACTCTTTCCCTCCTCCACAAAGTCCTATTACAGCTTGTTCCCTTCAGGGCCAAAGACCATGTGCCTTGTCTAGGAACCCTTTTGGGTCCAGTTCTTGGATGGGACAAAGGGATGGGGAGGCAACCCAGAATCCTCAGGATATGGGTTCACTGGTGACGGCCCCGCAGGTTGGGCACCTCCAGAAAAGGGCTCGCCCGTAGCCTCCTCTTCCTCTAAGCTCTTTTGTTTCTTTCCGTCTTCTTCTCTCTCTTCCCCCTACTTCTTTTCCCCATAAAGATGCGTAAAGAGGGATAGATGGCAAGCCAACCAGGGCAGCTTAGATCATGGTCATTTATTGGTGTTTGGGAGTTAGGGAGCAGCAGCCGGAGAGGGCTGAACTTGAGAGGATCTGGGGGTGGTGGAGGAAGAGTCGCAGAGGATGGGGCATCTACCGTGGGTCATGAAAATGGGCGTAAGTATCGAGGCAGCCCTCATGCTCAGACCCAGCTTCACGGACTATCCCTCACTAGGCATCCCACTCTCACTTTGACTGGACTCTCCCTCAGCAAGTTTTCTAAGGACCAAAAAATTAAAAAATTTTTAAAAAAAAATTAAAAAAAATTTAAATCCCCACAAAAAAAAACTTTTAAAATAATTAAAAACTTTCAGAGAGTTACTATTTACTTTATTAACTTACGGATTTATTATATAAATATATATTCACCTAGCAACATATATTTGCCGTCTTTCTTGGTCTTGTAATTACGCTATCAGCTGATTATCCTAACTCCCCTCTGCCCTTCTCCCCTCCCCTTCCCTCACCCCTTCATTGTTTTCCCTCTTTGTTGTCTTTTGTCAGGGACTAGTCTTTGGGAATTCCCCCGATGGGAGGGTCTGGGGGCCTGGCTTAGGGGAGAAGAAGGCTGGGCTGGCTGCTTCTGTTTGTGGTTTTGTTCTTTCTTTTTTGGGCGTTCATTCTCATTAATTTTTTTCTGGAAAAACCAACAGGACAATAAAATGTGTAATATTTTTAAGAACGATTTCCCAAATGTACTCCACTTCTGTCTGTCTTTTCTGTTTATTTAGTGTTTTAGACTCCAGGTCAGAGGCCTAAAGGTTTTCAAGGAAAGGAAAATTAATTAGAGCCAGCTCACCGAGAGCTCTGCGTCTTTGCCATGTAGAACTTGGAGCATTTCAGAAAGTCCCCAAGGCTGGACGCTTGTCCTGGGTAACACCATTGGCTACAGCCTGCCCTCCCACTCCCTCCCTGCTCGGTTGTCTTTTTAACAAGGGAGAGGAAGTCCGGATCTGGGGCCTTCCTTTTGGGTTCCCACTCTTGAAGTAGGCCGTGGCCCCTCTCTCGCTGTGTCTTGTCCCCTTCCAAGAAGAAAAGGTTCTAGGAAAAAGTGGCCAGCTCCGTCCACTGTAAGAGAAAATGGGTAGGAGTGAGGCCCAGTGCCTGGTGACCTTTCAGGGTCACCCACCCCAGGCCCTCTCACCTGTCTCTTAGTCATGTAAAGGAGCTCTTCCCCCTCACTGAGATGCTGGCTGCAGTGACCTGTCACGGGAGAGGTGAGGGTGAGACAGAGAGTTGTGTGTGTGCATGCGTGCTGCCCCCCCCCCCCCCAAGTCCAGTCCACCCACTCTCTACTGTGGGTTGTCCCAGATTCACTTACGGAAGAGGCAGGTGAGCTGGGCCACGCAGGACACGAAGCGGTCCAAGTCAACCCGAAGGCGACTGTCACGGTATCGGCTGGTGAGCAGCTGGGTCAGCTGGTTGTTAAGCTGGAAGCCTGTGGGGTCAGGAGGACAGAACCTTCTTACCAATTAGCCAGTTTCCTGTTTGTTCCTTCTAGCCAATGACCTGAAGAAACTGAGGCCCCAGGAGTGGTTTAAGGAGCCTGGGGGGTGCCTGCAACTGAAGTGATAGCTTTGTCCAGCTTGCCCTCGTGGCCTGTAGAAGTCCCTGACCCAGGTTCTGTTATTACACACGGGAGGGTGGGGATGACTGATTAGAGCCTGCTCAGTCTAGACATTAGGGTTCTGCCCTGGCTCCACTTGGGGCTCCTCTGGTCTCCAGACAGGACAGTCCCAGCAGCCCCCAGGCTGGTACACAGCTGAGATACACTGGGCATACACAGCAGAGGAGGGTTAGCGCCCTTAAGCCCCAGCCTTCTTCCCCAGGGAGGGGGCTAGATCCCAGGCCTCTCAGGAACCCCTAGGCAGCAAAATCCCATCTTTTCAGTGTGGTTTAGAGCCAACTTTGTTAGCAGCACTAGCCTGTCTGCCCGGCTGGCTGTCCTGTCTGATGCTCTGCTGGTCTTAAAATGAGCATGGATGGAAACCAGAAAAGGAGGTTTGAAGGTCTAAATGTTAGATTCTCAGCTGGGTGTGATGGAAAAAGAAACAGCTGTGAAATCAGGAGCCCTGGGTGTGAATCTTGTCTTGGCCACTGAGCCCCTATGTGACTGAGCCTTGTGAGAGGCTCTTCGTGACCCTGGAACACTATACAGACTTTTAATCTTCTCAGTATTAAATCCAAAGAGAACTAACAGTGGGTCTGTGGTCCCCTGGTCTAGTCCCAGCTGTGAGAGCTGAATGGTCACAACTTGGTTAGGCCTTGTTTTCTTCATCTAAAGGCATTGCTGGTAGTACAGGTGTTGGGTGGTAGTTGTGATATTTCTGACAATGGTGAATCGCTCGGGCCTGTCTAGAGTTCCCCATGTAAGGTGTGATGCCCTTTACCCTACCCCAGTCAGGATCGATCAGGTTTTCTGTATCCCCCCTTCACCTTGTCCTGGATACCACAAGCTTGCCAGATAAGCAAAGGAAGCTCACTTCTCCAGGGTGTCCTTGGGAATCCTTGTGGACTAAGTCAAGTTAGGTGTTTGGGATTAACACTTGTGGTGTCACCCATGCCAGGGGGGCAGGAGGAGGGGAGGCATCGATTCCATCGGGATTCTTGCAGTCATCCTGGGCTTCACCCAGTGGTTCGTTGGGTTCTCTGCCCAGGATATCTCCAGCAAGGATAGGGGGTGCCATCTGCCTCCCAGAATTAGCCCGTGTGTACCTGCTGAGTTGAGCGCCAGCCTCAGCTCATGAGAATTCATGGTCCCAGATTTGTCAGCATCAAACCTGTTGAATGTGGCCTTGGTGGGAGAAGAGGTTATCCATCAGACCTCGCAGCCATTCTGCCCCGGGGTGCAGAGCACCCTCTCCCCTCCTGCCAGGGGTGGAGATGGCCCATCTCTTTCCTCAGTGCCATTCCAGAAAGACTGGCACCCTTTTCCCTCAGTACTGGTCTTACCTGCCACCCTTGGAATCGATACCACAGCTGCTGAAACTCCGACAGTGTCAAACAGTGCCCTCCTTGCTGCAGGACGGTTCAGGGAATTGTGGAGAGAGGGAACCGGTTATCCTTCCCCCATCCCCAGAAAGCCCTCTGCTGCTTGGCAGCGCCCCCTCCCTCCCCAGTAACAAGAAGTTTCATAAGGATACTCCAAAACAGCGTATCAGATGTTCGCAGGTCCGGAGCCCGATCTCTCCAGGGGGGTGAGTCCAGGGGCTGGCTGAAAGAGGACCCACTAAACCTTAGTCTTCAGGTCTTGTTCTGTGGTTTGAAGGAAGTCTTACGGGGACAAGGGGCCCATTGGTGGAACCCCAGGAAACTGCAATACCATTTGAGCCTTGTGAATGACGCTGAGCTGAAGACAGGGCTCTGAATGGTCTAGGGCCTAACTCAAGCCAGGGGAGTCCGCCGCTTGCCCCAAGGCCGACGTTCTATCTCTGGTACCCCGCCAAAGTTGGTTTGGGGGACTCAGGGTTTAGAACTGGATGGAACTTTGGAGATCATCTGATCCAGTCCCTTGGGGCCTGGGAAAGGGGGATGACTTCACTGGATCTGAGCTGGGAGGATCCGTAGGTTTCATCTGGCAGAATTCCCCCTGCAGTGTCCCTATCTTTGTGTCCACATGCATTCTCCCAGTAAGGAAGATGCCACCCCCTCCCTAGGCAGTGCCCTGCACTTTGGGGCCGTCTAGAAGTTGTCCCTCACGGCCGGCTTGGCCTTGCCTCTCGACACCCTCCACCTGTTGTCGAGCAGAACGATCGGAGTCCCTTTCCCCGTGGCATTGCTCTCATGGCCTCCTTGAGGCTCATCTCTGGACAAGAATCCCCAGTTGTCTCCACAGTGCTCTAGCAGTGTTGGGTCTGTGCGTTCACGATCGTGGCTGCCCTTCCTAAAATATTGAGCTCACAACTGAACATAATAGGGGAAGGGAAGGAAGCAGGCATTTATGTAGTGCCTACTGTGTGCCAGGCATCGTGCTAAGCACTTTACAAATATCTCATTTGGTAGAAGATGCTGTTATCCCCATTTTACAGATGAAACATGCAGACAAGTTAAGTGACTTGCCCAAGGTCATGCAGCTAGACCGAGTCTAAGGCAGGATTTGAACTCAAGTCCTCTTGATTCCAGGCCTGTCATTGTAAACTGTGCCACCTAGCTGAATGGTCTTGTAACAGCCCAGTAGATAGTGGTGGCTATCACCTCCCTGTTGTAAACACTAGGCTTGTACTAGCAGACTGATGACCATATTCACCAGTAGGATCCCCATGCCTCACTTCACAACTGGGTTTTCGGTCCAGTAAAACCACATCTTCTGCGTAGACATTGTCAAGTCAGGCCTCCCCGATCCGATACTTTCACACGTGATGACAGATTCCTAAGTTTCATCTTGTTGAAGGCAACCCACCATTCTTGCCCACCAAGATGTCTTCTGGCATGCAGCATGCTGCATCTCTTCCAGATTTGTGTCGGAGGGGACCAGAGCAAAGAACAGCCCAAGGCCAAGGGTAGTTTAGTGGAACACACCACCAGGGCCTCCCAAGTTGGCATCAACCTAATTGGCATGTAGCCTACGTCTCTACACCCTGGCTATCACCCATATTTTTCTGTGTGTATGTATGTAGAACCGAAACAGTTTTAATTAGACTGGGCATGACCCTTGTGAATTATGGGGCACCTAGGTGGCCCTGTGGGTAGAACAGAGCCGTTGTGATCATCAGAGATGATATTGGCAGAAAAGTGCTTAGCACAGTGCCTGGCATGTGGTGGGTGCTCTATTCGTATCCCCTTTCCCCACCCAGTCTTTGTTAATCCTGTGATATCTGACTTGTCAGCTACAGCTAGGCAGTTGTTTTCCTCTCCCACCGTTTTCAACTTGAGGGCCTCCTGCTCCAGGCAAATCTAGTTTATCATTGGGTGCACTTCACCCCTGGTCAAGTAGCCATCATCTTTGTATTTTAAGCCATGGTCCAGAAATCCAAATCCATTCATTCTCAAGGGGATTCCTGTGCCTGATCAGACTTTTCTGAAACATTCTCACCTTCAGTCAGTCAACAGTGACTTAAGCAGAATTGTGTTTCCGAGGGCTTCAGTTTCTTGGCCAGGACATTGTAATCCCCGCTGGGATTTCTGAGCTCCTTTGTCCTTGGGACCCCCCCCCCAGAATCGCCAAGAGGGGACGGTGCTCCTCAGGTTTGGCATAGCCAAGCTCCTCCGAGCAGCAGGCCCTTCTACTGCCTGCCTCAGTTTCCTTAGCAAGACGTCACCAATGGCCACAGCTTGTCTCCTTCCTCTCCTTTGCTGTTTGACCTTGCTCATGGGAAGGCAAGTAGCCTCTTCCTGACTTCTGCTGCCCCATCTTCCTTCCCTTCTAGGTCAGTCTTCTCCCCTCCGACCTCCTGAGTCAGGGTAGGGGGTCACCCCTGCATCCTTCTTCGTATCCTCTTTGTATCACTTGTACCCCATTCTTTCCAAAAGTCCTTGCTAGCAGGGTAGCCAACTTGTACTTTGCGTCTCTACAGCTATGACTTGCCCAAGGTCATTCAGGCTGGATTTGCACCCAGGTCTTCTGACCCCAATCCAGTGCTTTTTCTGGGTCACCACCCACCCCTGACTCTTCTGTTTCCTTAGCCCAGGACTCACCCCAATCTCCAGGCTCTAGAGCTATGCTGAGTAAGGTCTGCAGCTGGTCAGCACTGATCTCGTCTTCCTGGGCAAAGAAGGCAAGGAAAATGAGAGGGCTCAGGAGGGAACCTCGAGGCCAAACTTTGTTTGGATTCAGCCAAAGGGCCCCACTTGAGGACTTAGAGGGCCACACGTGGCCCTGCCTCCTCCAGCCGTTTGTCCCATGACATCCTGAGCCCTTCCTGTCCTATCTTCCTCCCCGACTCCGTCAAAAGTTACCTGCATTTCCTCGCCCCTCCGTCTCTCCCTTGACTCTATTTCAAATCAGAAATGCTTTCCCTTCTTCCTTCGGCCCCCTCACCTCTCCAGCCAGTTCTTGAAACAGCTGTTCCATTTCAAACTCCAGCGGTGCAGAGGGAGTCTGAAGGAGAGAAGGCTCCGTCACTAACCAAAGCCGTCCCCACACCATCCTGACCATTCCTCCTCCCTGGACCTTGTCTCACCGTGAGCACCTGCAGGTCAGCACTGACGGCGTTGTCTATTTCTCTGGGAGAGAAAGAAGGAGAGAGGACGTGGCAAACCTTCCCAAGGAACCCCAACTTCCCCAAGCTGGGAGAGGGGGACACCCAGTTTGGGAAGGGGTCATGGCTGGGACCTCTGATCTGGGTCGGCTTGGCTTCCGCCTAGTTCTGTGATATCTGTGATGGTAGAGACCGTGCCTGGGGAAGAGTGCTGGATAGCTTGCTCTGCGGGTGGGGAGCAAGTCGTTATTCTTACCTATCAAATGGGGGCGGGGGGGGGGGTTAGGGCCAGACGGGCTTTGAGGCCCTCCAGCTCCAGGCCTGGGGTCCAGTGATACTGATGTTTACCATCATGCCGGCCCATGGGGGGGCCTGACTATTTGAACTGAAATGAGATTGTTATATGGGACCTTAGAGAGCTCCTGGCCAATCCCCGCTCATTTTGCAGATGAGGAAATAGAGGCTCAGAGAAGTCATGACACTTGTCCAAGGTCACCCAGAAACTGAACTCGGGGCTGTGCACCGCCTGCAGCCCCCGGGGGTGTCTGGACGTGGGTGTCAGCGCAGGACTTCTGACCAGGGCTGGGGATGACAGGGAGGCTCACGTGGCGGCGTGCTGATGCTCTGTGAAGATGCGGAGCGTGAAGTCAGACTCCTCTCCGGCATGGGCAGTGCTCGGTACGACCAAGTAATGTCCTGGTGCCAGGTGGCAGCGGCGGCTAACGTCTCGGCGGATGCAGAATGGGGACCGGTCAGCCCGAAGAAGGCCAGCCAGGAGCTCCCGGCGCCGGGGGGAGTCCTGCAGGCCTAAGAGCTGGGGGAGGTGGAGGTGAGGGGGCATGAGGCTTCCCCAAAGCCACCCCTAGACCACCCCACCCTAAAAGTCCTGCCCCAAATGCCTGCAGAGAGGGTCTGGGGGGTGAGGGGCATGCTGACAGGAGGCTTATTTTCAGTATCCGTTACCTCTTCAGGAATCTGTAGGATAGAAAACAGATATGCAGTCAGGGCTGACCTCAGGCCCTGACCTTTCCCTCTTCCCTCTCCCCCCAGAGTCCATAGTGTCTCCCACTATGTGCCTGCCTCCCCTTGTCTCTTCTTTCTTCTCTGTCCTCCCAGTTCTTTCTGCACGTCTCCCCAATTCTCCCTCTGCTTGCTTCGGTCCTCCCGAGCCCCTATGACTCCTCCCCACTCTCCTCTGTCCTCCCCCAACCTCTTTGCCCGCACCCTGAAAACGTGAAAGCCCACAGTGAGGTAGGTGACACCCCGGGCTCGAAGCTGCCTCCGATTTCTCTGGATCAGGGAGAGGAGCACAGTGCACTTCGGATGCTTGCCACCCCTTCCAGGCCAGGCCCCTCTAGCCCCGCAGCCACCACCCAGCCCCCTCTCGTCGTCCTCTGCTTCTTCCTCATCCGGGTCCTGAAGCGTCAGCTGGAACTGGGGGTTTGTCCAAAAGGTCTCTGTTTGGGGGGTGAAAGGGAGAGGTCGCGCTCTTGGTCTCTCCCAGCCCAGACTTCCCTCCCCTGTCCCATGGGCTATCCTCCCTATACTCGGGGCCTCACCGCTGCCTGGCTGGCCGCCACCAGCATTGAAGCCTCGCACCCAACGGCCCTGGAAGGTGTGGACGTGCCAGCCGCCCCCCTTGGGCTGAGGACCCAGCACCTCGGGGCTCAGTGAACAGATCTGGACTGTGTCAAAGTACTTCAGGAAGTCATCCAGCTCCATCCTGGGAGGGAGAGACCCCACGACCTTTTAGCCCCTGGTCTTCCAAGATGGTCCCCTGGGCCACCCTGACTTCCCCGTGTCTAGTGTGTCTTATATCCCCACTAGGCTCTCTGCCCCCCACCCCGTTTGTCCTCTGATCCCCCTACTCTTCCTTCTCCCAGTGTCTCCTCCTCCCACTGCCCCCACCATCCCTTCTCTGCTTCTCCTCCCTCCCAGGCTGTACTGTCTATCCCCTATTCCCTCTCTGTCCTTTTCCATCCTCACTATCTCCACTCCTTCCCCGTCATTGTCTCCCTGTGGTCCGGTCTTCTGTCCTATACGGCTCCATCACTAGCTTCCTAATCCGTTCTCTGACCCCTCAGCCCCAACGTAGCCATTGCTGCCAAGAACGCCTTATCAGGTCCTTCTCCATCACCCCCTGGGGCAGGAGTCCCCCCGGCCAGGAGTTGGCATCGGGGAGCCTCGGCATGGGTATGGGGGTCCCTGGGGTGGGGTTGGGGGATGATCTCGTCTCTCACCAGAATTCTCCATCCTCCTTCTTCACCAGCAGAGCATCACGCCATTCTTCAGGGAGAGCAGCCCATCGGGGGCAGCTGTGTGGGAGGCAGGCAGAAGAGTGGGGGCGGGATAGCTTCCCAGCCCCAGGTCTAGCTGTCAGTTTCATGGGCTTGTGGGGTCTCTCTCCCATGTCCCTCACCTGTCACTCCACGCCCCACTCCATTCCACGCGGCCCCAAGGGTTGCGAAGTCGTAAGAGCTTGACTTTGATGAATCCCAGGGACATCTGAGGAAACAGGAAAGGTCCCCTTGGGGTGAGGGCCAGGCCAAAGTGGCCTCGTCCCAGACCCTCAGTGCCAGTACACTCACCTTGTGGGTCCCTGTGACGGAGTATGCATGACCTCTCACCAGCCCCTCCTCCGTCGTGTACTCACCCCGGTCACTCTGGCCATATGGGGACATGGGAGAACACGCAGGAGCATAGGTTTAGCACAGGAAACGTGAATGCATCCAAGTCGTGTCCAGGGAAGGAGGTGGAGAAGGGGGACACATACATGGGAGGAGAAGGGGACGGATCCCTTGTATCCATGGGCCACACAAGCAGTGCCACCCATGGTGGGGAGACGTGCATATGTGGACACAGACATGGCAACACAAATAAGGGTGTGGGACTGTAAACAGAGACAGTGTGGCCCAGTGGTCCAGGGCCCTAAACAAGGGAAAAGGAGATATTTGGGGAGACACATGGGCCACCGATTGGGATCGACCACGGGAATAATCCGCAGGGGACATGTGTGGGCTGCTCAAATGGCAAGGAGATGCTCAGGGGTATGAATGGGAAAGATGTTTGGCATATGCTCGCGCGCACGCACACACACACATGAGGGAGACCCACAAGAAATGCAGCCAAGTAGACACATGGGAACATGAAACATGAGAATAAGCGGATAGAGAAAGGATGTCAGATTTGGGGGACAGACATGGGAGAGAGGAGAGCACATGCAGGGGATGCCATAGCAGAGACGCATAAGACCGAGAGGAGGTGTGTGTGTGCGTGTGTGCGCGTGTGCGCAGACTCAGATCTGCCTTTTCCAGGGCCTGGGAGGCTCACCAGGGCAGTGGCCCCCACGAGGGATTCCTTGGTCAGGGCATGCCGGATAGCAGAGAAGAAAACAGGAGTGTCTGGCTGTAGGTACAGGACCTCCCCCACACCGCCTGTGAAGTCCACAAAGGCCTCATTCATGTGACCACCTCGCATCACCTCATAGGAGCCATGGAGCCTGTGGGAAAACCAAGGCAGCCCCCCTCCCCTCCCCTAGAGGGGGGTGGAGAAGGACAAACAGAGAGAGGATTTTAGAGAGAGGATGAGTTAGGTGAATCTGGGGCTGGGGTGGGAGTGGGGAACTTTGATACTTAGGGATGGATCCCCCATAGTCCCAGGAGTCCTGTGGTGCGTGGGGGTGTCTGAGGCCTCCAAGGGTCAGAGATTGTACCCAGGTGTGTCTCAGGAAGAGGCTCTGGGCTCTCAAAGCCTAGGGGATAGATCCTGAAGGTTCCTTGAGATTTCTGAGGTTCAACAAGGGTCACCAGAAGGCCTCTTGGGGTCTCTGAGAATCAGAGATAGTCAGGCTTGGGCCACTGGGGTTTTTGAAGTCTCTGAGACTTTTACAGAGCAGATTTACGAAGCTCTGTCCATATATTATCCCTGGGAGCTTCTGAGGCTCAGGTCAAGTCCCTGATGGTCAGCAAGGCACTTCAGGGTGGTGGGGAGACATTCCTTACTTGGCATAGGCCTTCTCGAGCAGCGGGGCCCAGAACTCGGCTCTCTGGGCTGACCGGACGAAAAGCAGCTTCCCATCTCGCACAGGCAGCCTGTCGTCCACCACCACATCTACCCAGCGACCGAACTGCCATAGCTATGGAGGAGAGAGGGCCGGGGAGGGGGTGGCCAACGACTGCCCCCCAGCCCCTTCCCTGGCCCACCCAAGCCTCTTATCCTGCCCTGCCCCAGCCCCAGACACTGGGGCCTAAACTAGGGGAATTGTTACAACCTCCTCATAGAGAAGCTAGTAAGTCTGTTTTACATATATTTACCTATACCTACATTTTACATAGTTAAATACTAGGTAAATCATTTCCTTGTGGATCGGCTGATGCTGTTTCTGCCCCTTGCCCCCCTCTCTCCTTACCTGGAAGTGGAAGATTCCTGCATAGCCCCACTGGAAGCTCTGGCTGGGGGGCACCACCCGATAGAGGAGGCGGGGGTACAGGGTGAGGGAGGCCGCTGCAGCCAGGAACCAGCAGTTACCTGGGAGGGGGCAGGAGGAGTCTGGGGATGGGGGTACAGGGTGAGAGAGGCCGCCGCAGCCAGGAACCAGCAGTTACCTGGGGGGGTGCAGGAGGAGTCGGGGGATGGGGGTACAGGGTGAGGGACGCCGCCGCAGCCAGGGTGGGCAGGAATGAGGTAGACAGGAGAGGGTCATGACGACAGTGAGCCCTGGGAGAGACTTGCAGGCAGGCGGAATTTGGGGGGGTGAGGAGGGGTCTGGGGGGCAAGGGTGGAAAGGCTCACCCAGGCTGCCCTGACACACATCCGTCCGATCCATGTCTTCACAGATGAACTGGGGATTCTGACAAAACTCCTGAGGGGCAGAGGGGGACCGTCAGCCCAGAGCGAGGCCTGGAGGTCCCACTCCACAGATGCTTCCCCTCTGCAGCCAGATGCTGAGGTCTCCTTAGCCAGGAGCCTGAGGCCTGAAGCCTTCTCTTGGGACTAATGACAGATGCTGCCACCCTCCCCAGGATGAAAGGGCTTCCTGATGCTGCCTTCAGGAAATGTGGGGCCCCCAGGAAACCTGAGGGGGCAGGGATGGGGAGAAGAGTCCCTGGGCTGGCCAGGACCCAGCCCCCCGAAGGCCTAGGCCTGTTGACCCCACATTCTGCCCCCATCAGGAACCCGGCTCAGGGGCCAGGGCGTCTAGTCCTCCAGACCCCCAGGGCCTCATCCAGGCCCCCAGCCCCCAATCAGCTCTGGGATCCAGCCTTCCAGTGCACACCCCTCACCCTTAGGGCCCAAGCTCCCCCTTTCACCCTTCAGGGCTCCCTGACTCACATGAGGTCTCAGCCACTCCACGCCCTTGGCCTTCTCTGAGTTGGGCCCCAACTGGTCATAACCCAGGGTGGCAGGCCCAGCAGGGAAGCAGGGGTCCAGGAAAAGGGCCCCTGCCTGCAGGCAGCTTTCCTGGAGGGACCGGTAACACTGACCCCTGAAGCACACAGGACCGCAGGAATCTCCATCGTCTTCCTCCACCAGCTGGATGGTCACCCTCTGAACGGCCATTGGGGCTGCTCTGGGGCCTGGGGGGGGGGAGGCCCTTTAAAGCGTGAGGTTGAGAAGAGGGCGGGGCCTACCTCCCAGGGATCTCCAAGCAAGTCTTGGGACCTGGGGAGGGGCTTGGGAAGATCACTAAGGAATGGTGGCTGCTCATGGACCTGTGGTTAGTTGCCCTACTTCTGGACATGCTCCAGTTGGGGTTCCACCCCTCGTTAATATTAATTGATGGTTGGTGGGGGGCAGTAGGATACACCCTGTGGGTTTCCGGGCCCTCAGTTGTGGCCTGCCAGTGGGACTTAATGGGCTTGGATTTTGGCGGATGGGAAGATGGCAGGAGACCAGGCGAAACCATAGAGCTCTGGTAGGAGCCTAGGTGGCCCCATAGGGCATAGAGTACAGGGCCTGGAGTCAGGAAGACTCATCTTCCTGAGTTCAAATCCGGCCTCAGACACTTCCTAGCTGTGTGACCCTGGGCAAGTCACTTCACCCTGTTTGCCTCAGTTTCCTCGTCTGTAAAATGAGCTGGAGAAGGAAATGGCAAACCGCTCTAGTATCCTAGCCAAGAAAAACAAGAATCAGACACAACTGAAATGACCAAACAACAAAGGGTGGAAGGGTTCTAGATCCCAAGAGCAGACACATCCTGCCATTCTGGCCCAGGTTGCTCTTGTGCTTTGCCTATCTCCCATGTCCAAACCTTTGTGCTGGCTGTGCCCCCTGCCTGGACTCCTCGCCCTCCTGATCTCCACCCCCGAGACTGTCTGGCTTCCTTTGTGACCCTTGCACAAGCCATTAGTGCCAGCCCCGCTACCACTACCTCCTCTCTGCCCCCTATATGTCTTGTGTTGTCTCCCCATTAGAATGGAGGCTCCGTGAGGGCGGGAGTGTCGTGGGTTGTTTGCTCTTTGAACCCTCATACCTGGCTCATCATAAACCCTTAAAAAATGTTTCTTGATGGGTTAGAAGAGACCTCAAGCGCTACCTTATCTGACGTCCTTGTTTTAGGGACAAGGCTCCTGCCCTTTGCCCCCGGGCTCCCTTCTCCACCCTCTTTCTTGGCCTCCCCAGCCTCTTCCCTCTCTGAAGGCTGGAGGAGCCCTGGAAATGCTTCACGGTATAGGAAGTCCACCATCCCCCCACATCCTCACTCCAAGAATCCCAGACCCAAGAGACTAGAATTCAGATCCCTCCCAGTGCAGCCAAACCTCTCTAAGACCTCCCTAAAGAGAAGGTCATCCAGCCTTTGCTTGGCTGTGTCCCATGATGGGGAGCTCACTACCTGGTTTTTTCAACTTTACAAATTTTAAAAAATATTTTCTTGATATTTTTTTAAAAATTCTGAGTTCGAAATTCTCTCCCTCCCTCCAGCCCTGCACTGCCTCTTGAAGGAAGCTCACTTTAAGACCCCAAAATTCTGCTAGTTCCTTACACTGAGCTGAACTTGAACTCTGTCCTCCCCAGGCCAGCCCTTTAGATGTTCAGAATGGTGATTAGGCCAATCAGCCGCCAGGAGACAGATGGTCCCCATGCTGGCTTGTGTCTCGGTCTAAAGGACTGGAGGAATCTCTGGGAATGTTATCTTCTCCCCAGGCAGATATGGAGCCTGCTGCCTCCACGGGGTTAGGCATAGCTGACCATGGCCCTGGTGGGGAGAGGAGGCCCTGTCCCCCCGGGGGGCATTTGGAGGATACAAGCAGGACAAGGTTTAGGCCAGGGAGGCCTGCCCAGGGAGATACAGGATGGGGCAGGCTTGGATTGAGCTCTCCTTCCTGTGTCCTTTCCTGCTTCAATCCTGGGGCAAGAACAGCTCTCCAGCCCTGTTCTCCAAGGCCCCCAAACCAGCCTCTGGTGTGCTTAGCACATCCTCATCAAAGGGGAGAATTGATTGGGTTGGTGCAGATGAAGTCCGAGGTGGTGTCTCTGAATCTGCCTCAGATCAGCAGTCTGGGAGGGGGCAAAGTCTCTTCCACTGTCTGTCCCTGAAGTGTCTTTGACACTGCCCTCAACATCTCTCTCCCAAAATTGTCAATAACCCTTCTATGTCTGTCTTCTCCTTAAATGTCTCTATCTCTGAGTCTTCTCTATTTCTATACCTGGAATATCTCTGTCTCCGAGATATCTCAGTCAAATGTCTCTGTGTGTCTCAGTAGACCTCGATTGGTATTTCCTGGGTGGGGCTGTGGTATACTGTTGAGGCCCAGGAACCAAACAAACAGCAAAGAGTCAGATTTAGACTAACTTCCTGCCTCAGGAGGTAATGAACTCCCCGTCCCTGGAGAGCTCCAAGCAGAGGCTCCATGCCCATTGCTGTGGGCGTTATAGAGGGGTCCTTGTTTGAGCAAGATCTAAGCTGGACTTGAGGACCCCTAAGATCCCTGTTACTCCAAGAATCTGGGTTTCTGATCCTGTCGCTCACATTGGTTTATGAGAGCCTGGATTGGCAAGCCAGGTGGCTCTGGGCCTGCCTCAGACGCTGGCGGCTGTGACTCTGGGCAAGTCTTGATCTCAGTTTACCTCAGTTTCCTCATCTGTAAAATGAGGAAGATGCCATCTTGTCCAACCCCTTCATTAGAAGATGAAGATGGGGCATTTAGGTGGCGCAGTGGATAGAGCACTGGCCCTGAAGTCAGGAGGACCTGAGTTCAAATCCAGCCCCAGATACTTACTACCTGTGTGACCCTGGGCAAGTCACTTAACCCCAATTGCCAAAAAAAAAAAAAAGAACAAGATGAAGAACCGGGGGGCCAGGACTTGGAATAAAAGAATGTTAAAACAATTCTACTAAGCCACACCTTATTACAAAGGGAGAAGCTGAGAAACAGAGGAAAAGAAAGGGAGACAGACAGAGAAACAGTAAGAAAGACAAAGACAGAGTGAGATGGAGAAAAAGGCAAGAAAAAGGGAAGAGGTGGGAAAGGAGAGAGAGATGGAGACAGACATACCCAGAAAGAGAGAATAGTAATAGTAATAATAATGATCACTTATGTTTCTATAGCACCTACTATGTGCTGAGCACTTTATAATTACTGTCTCATTTGAACCTCAGAACAACCATGGGAGGGAGGTGCTGTTATTGTCCCCATTTTACAGATGAGGAAACTGAGGCAAACAGATCAAATGACTTCCCCAGGGGAACAGCTGCCAGTGTCTGGGGCTGGATTTGAACTCATAGCTTCCTGACTGCAAGCCCAGCATTCTAGCCATTGAGCTACCTAGCTTTCTCCAAGTGAGGAGAGGGGCAGGGGAGGAAACTGAGGCCTTGGGACATTGTGGCTTGCCCAGAGCCTCACAGATGGCTGCTTAGGGGAAGAGTTGGACCTAGATAGAAGCCAGGTCTCCTGACTCATCTGGTCAGGGCTTGTCCCTGCTTTAGAGAAACAACCAAGCAGGCTTTGGGGTCAGGGAGACCTGGATTTGAATCCTACCTCTGACGCTTCCTGGGCAAGTCACTTTACTTGAAATCGAGCCTCAGTTTCTTCATCTGTAAAATAGGAATAATAACAGTGGTCTCTGCCTCCCAAACCTGTTGCGAGACTCCAAAAAAGATAATAGATGTAAAAATCACTTTGCAAACTTTAGAGTGCCTCACCAATGTCAGTTTCTTAGCAAACCACATTACCTCTCATTCTGTGACAATCTCTCCTTTGCACTTGACTTTTTTTTTTTTGACTGGGCAGGCCCTCAAAGCCCTTGGGGGAGGGGAGCAACATTCCTTTCCATCTCTTCACCAGTTAGCAACACTTACATAGGAGCAGCTCCTGCTTTGGAGCTACGGAAGCTTCATTCACATTCCTCCTGTTAGGTTAGGTAAGCAAGTCTGATTATCCCCATATTACAGATGGGGAAACTGAAGCCAGGTGAGGCAAGAAAGTGACTTGCCTGGAGTCTCAAGGCTAGTAAGAGACGGGTTCTAGGGGCAGCTAGGTGGCGCAGTGGATAGAGCACTGACCCTGGAGTCAGGAGGACCTGAGTTCAAATCCAGTCTCAGACACATAACTCTCACTACCTGTGTGACCCTGGGCAAGTCACTAAACCCCAATCGCCTAGCAAAAAGCAAAAAAAAAAAAGAGAGATGGGTTCTAGACCTAAACCCAGGTCCCCTCTAAGCCCTGCTCAGTTGCTGTGGCATTTCTCATGACTTGCTTATGTCTAGTCTTCGATGCCTTGGGGGAAGGAGTATTAGAGATGGACTGGACTATTAGAGATCACTGGACTAGTCTGTGGTCTTGTGACATCTGAAAGGTCTGAAGAGGGGCAGCTCGGTGGCATTGCAGTGGGTAGAGCACAGGCCCTGGAGTCAGGAGGACCTGAGTTCAAATCTAGCCTCAGACACTTACTACCTGTGTGACCCTGGGCAAATCACTTAGCTGCAATTTCCAGAAAAAAGGGAAGGAAGAAAGAAAGAGAGAAAGAAAGAAAGACCTGAAGAGTGAGTCCCCTGTAGTCCAGGGATGGAAGTCCACACCAGTGTGCTGGCAACTGAACCAGCCCAGCCCAGAGGGTGTGACTCCTCTTCCACTGGCAATGATGAATTAGGAAGTGAACTTAGTGGCAAGTGACTGCTTTAGGTTGGAGATTAGTCTCTTCGGGGACTTAGGTGATATAGAGAAGGGTGTGTCCCCCAGATATGGGAGGGAGAGAATGTTAATGCTTTTATCACTGCTATATCTTCTTAGACAATATCCCTTTGAAATGCCTAATTATTGTTAATTGGTTAACTGAAACTGGGATGTGAATCTCTGACAATATTGGTGGGAACACACCAGGAAAGAGATTAACCAAGAGCATCAGAAGAACCTCACTACCTGTTAGGAGTACCCCCAGAACCTTGTGACTACCATGCTCTTGGGGAACCGGATTTACCAGTGCCAGTGGGAGTTGCATTAAGGATCTCTGGGGCTTATACGTGTGGTGGTCTTTCTGGGCTATGTATTAGGTGGTAGTGTAGTAGATAGAGTGACAGGGCTGGAGTCAGGGAAGGCTATCTTCCTGAGTTCAATTCCAAC